TGTTCTTTCCAAATTTGGTGATGTGTTTTAGGAAAAACATGCCTGCAAATTTGGAGGACATGGTCCCTAAAATTAAGCCTTAGGTCTTACCTACCTGCAGGTAAAGAATGACCAAATCAAGTATATTCTGGGGCTTTTCTGAACTTTTTCTTTTGTTGTAGAGGGAAAGTTTATATTGACTGTTTAGCTATAAATGTAAGGTTTATTCATCGTAAGTCGTAATTCAGCCATGCATAGCAGCAAATCATCCAATGACTCCATAAGAGCATCTTGCATTTCTTAGAATCCTGTAGTTAGGTAAGTTATTTGTAATTAAGTAAAAATGAAAGTTGACCTTTCTTCTTGAGAATAATTAACGCTAACCACATGAAGAACAGAAGATTTATGATTCACATGAGCCTAAATAAAATTTAAGAGAATTGAACTCTACCTCTTCTTGGGAAGTATCATCTTTTCTCCCTGTCAGTAGAGATGTAACAAAATACCTGACGTATCATAACACAGGGATTTCAATTGTGCATTCATATGAGATTCCAGTGTGACAAGCTGCCACACAGAGTAGATATTTAGTGCAATCCGTCCTCTATTAAAATCCTGTCAGTCCCACCTTACTCTTCCCCCTCCCCGTGTCCTCAAGTCCATTCTCAGATAGCTAGTGGGAAGCAGCTGCATAGCACAGGTAGATCAGATTGGTGCTTTGCAACTACCTAGAGGGGTGGGATAGGGAGGGTGGGAGGGAGAAGCAAGAGGGAGGGGATATGGGGATATATGTATGCATATAGCTGATTCACTTTGTTATAAGGCAGAAACTAACACACCATTGTAAAGCAATTATACTCCAATAAAGATGTTTAAAAAAAAAAAAAATCCTGTCAGTGTCGTGGTGAGATTTCAGAGTTTTGGACAGAACTCTGCACTGGGAAACAGCACCACGTACCCAATTGCATTGGCAACATCAGCCAAGAGTGAATTCCTGATTTAGTCTCACAGTGCTCTCTTTCCGTGAAAAAAAAAAAAAAGTGCAAAGAGAAACGCTCTTGCTGTCCTCAGTGGGGTTTGACCTGATAAAGTCCCAGAGTCAGACAACTGACAGAGAATGGTTTCCTTGCAGAAACACCAGTACGAGAGATATGACCAAGGCAGGGAGAATTTTATCCCCTCTTCCTTAAAAGTGAAAAGCCTCTCAGAGTTTTCTTCTAAGTTTACAAAAAAGTGCATATTGCACACAACTCAGAAATTTCAATCTGCAAAGAAGCAAACCTAAACAACCAACTTCAGCTTTACGCTTATGCTTTCTGCTTTTCTCTCGTCCTTTTACTACTCCCCTCCCTTCTTTCCATCAATTCATGTCTCTCTTATAGATCATTACCCCTCCCTAGTA